CACCAAGGAAGGCTGCTGGAGGGTGGGATGGGGGTGGGGGGTGCGGAGAGACCCAGGATGAGCTCCTGGGGTGCCGGCCCGAGCAGGTGGGGGATGGGCCTGGCTTTCCTCACACCTCGGAACAGGACCTCGCCCTCCGCGGGGACATCTCCTGCGTCTGTGCCCAGGCCTGGGCGGGGGAGGGGGGCAGGCAGAGGCGCCCCCGGTGGCTCCCGCCAGCTCTGAGGCCACCAAAGGCATGGGGGCACTGCTTGGTCCACCGTCCCCCCATGCCCCCCGCACAGAGGGCCCGCCTGGACACATTTGCCATCGCGGCTCTGACTCTGAGGTGGGAGGTGGCCCCGTGACAAAGCCAGCTCCCTGCGGAGGGCCACGGGCTGCCAGGCGCCTGGCAGAGCGAGGCTCGGGGTCGGCCCTCCCCGTGCACCTCTGTTCCCGTCACCTTTGCACTCAGTGCAGAGAGAGCGGCAGAAGCCGCGGCGGGAAGGGAGGAGGCCACGGGCCGTGAGCGCAGGACGGACGGAGCCGTCGCCACGTCCCTGTCCCCAGCTCACAGAGAAGTGCGGGCGGCCGGGAGGACGGAGCAGTGTCCCTTCCCCCCGTCCCCCCCACCCCCGCTCCCGGCCGGTGTCCTAGCGCACAGCTGGGGGTCACCGGACGCCACGCACTCCCACTGACGTCACGTCACGCCTTCGCACCATGAAGTCGCCCCAGAGAGTGGCCCGCGTGCCCGTCGGTCTGGGTCTGGGGCCCCTGCCCGACTTGTCCCCGCCTGGCGGTCGGGAGAGTCCCCTCCCTCAGGCGGGCCCTGTGGCCCCACAACGCCCAGGGCTGGAGCGACACCAGAGCACGCGGGTCAGGACGCCTGCTCCCGGCGGTTCCCCGCCCTGGTGCAAGCAGCAGGGTGAGTGGACGGGAGGGGGCTCCGGGGGACCCAGAGGCCTGGCCGGTCGATGAGCACGGACGCTGAGGTGACAGCGGGGGCCGCGGACGGGGAGAGAGGCCACTTGCCTTAATGACGTCTTCGTCCGACGACGCGCACTGCACAGACTTCAGGTCGGTCACTGTGCCGTCCTCCTCCACGGCGACCACCTTCACCGGCACGGCCACCGCCTTCCCCGTGAGGACGGCCGTGTTCAGGATCTCCGTCTCCTGGGGGGGGAGCACAAGCACACTGTGACCGCGCTTTCCGCCCGCACGCGCCGCGCCTGGCCCCGGCACACGACACGCGGCCCGC